AATAGATCGGTGTGGGGGTGGGGGGGGTGGGGGGGGATTAAATCTGGCTAAACAATATGTCGCGTGATATTTTTTTTGCCAAAAAAAACAATATTTTCAGTATTATCGCAAGCACTGTACATCTTGCAGCTCTTTCCTTTTAAGGTCCGGTTTTTTTTTTTTTTTGGGGGGGGGGAGGGAAATAAGGGTTTGACTAGATACGGATGAAAACCCAGGGAAAGTCACAAATGCACACAAGCGATATTTATTTTAACATATTTATTTTCCTGCATAATCTCAGCTGTCAGCTGCAAGCAATGTATTTGTCTTTGTGTGTGTGTGTGTGTGTGTGTGTGTATAAGAGTTCATCAACCCTATACTTTAAAATACTGTAGTTGTATCTATAAATGTGTGTGTGTGTGTGTATAAAAGCCCTCCTCGTAGTAAAATAGAAATCCTTGCAATTGAATGTTTAGGACGAGAGAGTGAGAATCACCTTTGCAGCAACTTTCCTTGACTTCTCCTGTAAAAGCCTTTAAACTGTGTCTCTCTGAAAGAGCAGCAGAAGCGGGGAGTTTGTGGTCGAATAACCCGGGGGGGGGGGGGGGGACTTGGCCGGGTCTGGGTCACTGTGTCTGTTATGGCGGTGTCCTGGGATAACCGCTGGGTTGATGTACAGAGGTGTGTGTGTGTGTATATATATATATATAGCCCAACAGGGCCCGATCGGGGCGGGTTCACATCCAACTGGACGGGTTTTTTGGGGTTGTCGCTGTGTTACAAAAAGACGGCTTTGGACGGGTGTCTAATTATCATTATTTTTCGAGAGAAAAAAATCATTTCAATCCGCAAAACGAGTTTCTCCTTCCTCCCTCCCCCCCACTGACTCCCTCCCTCCCCCCCCCACAACTCCCCTTTGCAGACCTTTTTTTTTTAAACACCCAGTTTCAAAAGCACAAACCTGGTGGGACTTCTCTGCTGTAGCCCCTTCCTTGGCGATGCGTAAAAACCGGGCTACACGTTTTGGGGCTCTGCTGTGCTTTGGGTGGACTTTGGGCTACGAAACCTGATTTTATTTTCTGCCCCTAAACGCTGGCGGCGGCGGCGGGGGGGGTGTGCGGTGGGGTGGGGGGGTGCGGTGGGGTGGGGGGGTGTGGTGGGGTGTGGGGGGCTTCCCGGGTCTGAGCCCCGCCACCGCCTCGGTCTAAATCAGCGGGTCAACCCCACCGCCGGCGGTGATGGGGACATGATGGTGAGGATGAGAGGGAGGAGGGGCGGGATGCGGGATGCGGGGGGGAGGGGGTGGGGGGGCGATGCTGTTTTCCGTATCCAAACGGATGAGGGACGAGGCATGAGATGGGAGGCGGTGTGGGGGGTGGTCGGCAGGTACAGAGGAGAGGGCTGCGCCCGTGTCCAGTGGGAGTGGAGTCGGGAGCAGCAGCGTGTGAGGGTCAGTGTGGGGGGTGGGGGGGGTGGTATGGGGGGGGGTGTGGTGTGAGCGGAGGGTGTATGTGTGGTGGGGGCTGTGAGTGGGGAGGGGTGTGGGGGGGTGAGGGGAGGGTGTATGTGTGGGGGGTGCTGTGAGGGGGGGGGGTGAGGGGAGGGTGTATGTGTGGGGGGTGCTGTGAGGGGGGGGGGGTGAGGGGAGGGTGTATGTGCGGTGGGGGCTGTGAGTGGGGAGGGGTGTGGGGGGGGTGAGGGGAGGGTGTGTGTGTGGGGGTGTGAGTGGGGGTGTGAGTGGGGGGGTGTGAATGGGGGGTGTGGGGGGGGCTGTGAGTGGGGGGTGTGGCGGGGGCTGTGAGTGGGGGGCTGTGAGTGGGGGGCTGTGAGTGGGGTGGGGGTGTGGGGGGGCTGTGAGTGGGGGGCTGTGAGTGGGGGTGGGCTGTGAGTGGGGGGCTGTGAGTGGGGTGGGGGTGTGGGGGGGCTGTGAGTGGGGGGCTGTGAGTGGGGGTGGGCTGTGAGTGGGGGGGCTGTGAGTGGGGGGGGGTGTGTGAGGGGAGGCGGGTGGGGGGAATAGCTGTCTGCAGATTGCCGGTGAGTGGGGGTGGTGGGGGGATGGAGTTGCCCTCAACCAAAATACCACCCCCCCTCACCCCACACCCACCCAAAAAAAAAATCATGTTTGATTCCCGATCTTCACTCCCCGCCTCCTCTGGGTGGCAAAGCGGGCGATTTGGGGTTTAGTGTGTTTTTGAAACTGTGTCAGGAAAAAAGATCTTTATTTTTTTGTTTAAAAAAAAACACGTTTTTGCAGGTTTACAATCATTGTTGTAAAATATATCTATTAGGAAACCGCCCAAAGCCCTCTCTGTTTTACACACATACACACAACACACATCACAATAAAATCACGAAACACATCGCACACCCCAATTGGGTGTGAACTCGCCCCAATTTGGCCACGTTGGAGATGGACGGTGAGTGGAAGTGTTGATGGAGGGGGTGGGGTGGAGAGGGAGGTTAGGAGTAGGTGAAAGTGCTGATGGTGGGGAGGCGTAGTTGCCTGGAGACGCTCAGAGAAAATGTTGAGGGGTAGTCTGGGGGTGAGTGAGTGGATGGGTGACAGTGGGGGAGGTGTGTGTGTGTGTGTGTGTGTGTGAGATTGTGAGAGAGATGTTGGTGGGTGTGAGTAATGTTGGTGTGTGTAGGTGAGCGTGATGGTGGTGTATGTGTGTGTGTGGGGGTGGGGGGGGGGGGTTGTGAAAGTGGTGTCTTGTGCGTTTGTGGTGATGTGTATGTGTGGGTGAGTGAGAGTGGTGGTGGTCTGTGTGTGAATAGTAGTAATAGTAGAGTGGATGTGGTTGAGAGTAGTGGAAGTGATATGTATATGTATGTGTTGGGCGGGGGGTGAGAGTGATAGTTGTCTGTGTGTGTGAGGGGTGGTGGTGTATATATGTGTGTGGGGGTAGGGGGTGTGAGAGTGGTGTGTGTGTGGATGGGTGGGTGAGAGTGGTGTGTGGGGGGGTGAGAGTGGTGTGTGGGGGGGTGAGAGTGGTGTGTGGGGAGGTGAGAGTGGTGTGTGGGGGTGAGAGTGGTGTGTGGGGGGGTGAGAGTGGTGTGTGGGGGGGTGAGAGTGGTGTGTGGGGGGGTGAGAGTGGTGTGTGGGGGGGTGAGAGTGGTGTGTGAGTGGGGTGAGAGTGGTGTGTGAGTGGGGTGAGAGTGGTGTGTGTGGGTGGGGGTGAGAGTGGTGTGTGTGGGTGGGGGTGAGAGTGGTGTGTGTTTGTGTGGGGGGGTGAGAGTGGTGTGTGGGTGGGGGTGAGAGTGGTGTGGGGGTGGGGGTGAGAGTGATGTGGGGGTGGGGGTGAGAGTGATGTTTGGGTGGGGGTGAAAGTGGTGTGTGTGTATGGGGGGATGAGAGTGGTGTGTGGGGGGGGTGTATGAGCGTGGTGTGTGTGGGGTGTATGAGAGTGGTGTGTGTGTATGGGGGGGGGGGTGAGAGTGGTGTGTCTGGGTGGGGGTGTATGAGAGTGGGAGGGGTGTGTGGGGGGGGGGTGTATGAGAGTGTTGTAGGGGTGGATGAGAGTAGTGTTATGTGTGGGGGGTGAGAGTGATGTGTGTAGAGGGGTGAGAGTGATGTGTGTGGGGGGGGGGGTGAGAGTGGTGTGTGTGTATGGGGGGGTGAGAGTGGTGTGTGTGGAGTGGATGAGAGTGGTGTGTGTGTGGGGGGGGGGGGTGAGAGTGGTGTGTGTGTGGGAGAGGGGGTGAGAGTGGTGTGTGTGTGGGAGAGGGGGGTGAGAGTGGTGTGTGTGTGGGGGAGGGTATGAGAGTGGTGTTGTGGGGGGGTATAAGAGTGGTGTGTGTGGGGGGGTGGGTGGGTGAGAGTGATGTGTGTAGAGGGGTGAGAGGGCTGTGTCGATGGGGGGTGGATGAGAGTGGTGTGGGAGGGGGGTTGTGGTGTTGAGAGTGGTGTGTGTATATGTGTGAGTGTTGGGTGGTGGGGGGGGGGGGGGGGGCGGTGGTCTGCTGGTGGTGGGGGGTTGCCTGGAGACGGGAGGCGAGTGGGTGTGTGCTGTGGGAGGGAGGGATGGAGGGATGGAGGGGGGGAGGGGGGGTCTGCAGTGTCACGCCTCATTGGGCAGATTATCTCCACCAAACAAAGTGTCTGCCACTCGCGATCGGGCCATATGTAACTCTCCACGGCCTCGCCCGTCCGTCCTCCCACCACCACCACCGACCAACCCACCCACCCACCCACCGACCAACCCACAGACCCACCGACCAACCAACCCCCCACTTCTTAAATCGGAAGACAACATCACCGTCACTTTCGCCCACGATGCCATTGATCTGACAACGCGGAGACAGGAAAGAGAGAGACAGACAGACACACACACACACACACAGAGAGAGAGAGAGAGAAGCGCAACGTCCACAGCTGCTGCCCGGGTCCCCATCTCGATCGCATCATTCTCCTCCTCCTGCACACATACCCCACCCCCCTCACCCCCCACCCCACCCCCCCACCCACCCCAAAAAAAAGGCTTTGAAAAGCGAGCGAGCGAGGGAGAGAGAGAGAGAGGAATTCAGATTCTCTTTGTAAACGGGTCTCTCTCCTGTTTTTTTTTAACTGGTGAGTGTTTCACTTTTCTTTTTTTTCCCCCCCCATAAATGCTGATTTCTGTTGAGGGTGGGAAGAATTACATCCTCATTAAAGCGCCCCCCTTTTTGACGCCTCAAGCGACGCGCGACCTGATTTGCAGCAAAGCGTTTAATATTGGGCATTTTTGTTTAAAAAAACAATACGTTTGCTGCGACTGTGCATCTTTTTATTGCATAAATCTGGAAAGAATAAAAGGATGTAGAAAAGAGGTTTTCCTTTCTCGTGATCAGGTGGGGCTTTTTAATGTGTATATATATATTTTTTTTTAAAAAATCACTTTCTGATGAATGCTGAACTGAGATGAGCTTTTGTTTCAAAGCTTCTGCGCTGCACTGAGAAACCGCTTTAATTCCCCGAAGTTGCATCCAATGTGCTGACCATCCGGTGCTTCTGTGCAGCGAAAGCTGTGCGATCAGAATGGCATTTGGCTGTCGTTGTAATGCGGGTTTACTGAGGGTTCGTTTGTCATTGCCTGTTCGTGGGGGAAAAAATAGTTAAACATCAAACCCTTGGCGTTTTTTCGCACTTGAGATGGATCAGGGTAAGCTTCGTCTTATGATTTTTAGTAACTTTATGTTGTGTCGGGCTTTAAATTGAAAGCACTCCTGCTTTAGCAGACAAAGATCAGTGAATTTGCTTCTCTGTGCATCTCTTTTTCTGAGGGGAAGCCTCAATGAACACTTATATTTGCGATTAGACATGCCGGAGTCTCGAGAATGTCAGGTGTAAGTGCACTGCCGGGTAAAGCATTGGGTAAAAAGTCGCACGGTGGAGCGAAATTTCAAAGTCACTAAGACATTAAGTATAATATGCCTCATTGCAAATCGTTATAAATCGGCGGTTACTTTAAAAACACGTAGAGCCATTATATGTGACATTTGTTTTTATAAAGCTACCGCTGCAGAAACGTGCGGTTCAAAGTCTTGCGCTCAAAGAGTGATTTCAAATGAATCGGGAATCTGCGCCGGGGACCCGCACGATTGGCGCTGAACTCATTCAAACGGAGAAGGGTACCAGAGATGCAAAACTCTCCTCCTGCTATCCCCCCCCCCCCCCCCCCCCCCCCCCACCCCGCCTTCCCCTTACATTTCAGATCTCACAAGCCACATTTGACCGAATCTCTCCCCGTGTAGAACAAGGTAACTGGGATTTACCCTCATCCATAAATAACCGTGTCGAGGTAAAATGATTAACTCTGCTTGCTGCTTTTAATTAAAGTCTCAGAGGGAAAGTGCTGTATTATGGTAATGAGATGCGCGGACGAGGAAGACATACGTTCCTTTTTGTAGAAAGATCTAAAGGTTATCTGACGTGAAATCACTAAAAAAAAATGACAGGACATTTTCAATCCATTTCATTTGCACTTCTAGACATGGGAACGGTGTAATGTGATGCTTGTTGCTAAATGGCTTCGCCTGCGTTCAACTAAAGGAGCAGATCGGACTCGGTGGCGATCCTGTGAGGCAACCTTCGGATTTTCATTTGTTTTGACAGGATATGCATTGGCAACTTTGGGTTATGTGCTATCACGAATATAGTAAAAGGAGGTCTGAGTTGCGATTCCAGTAATTATGACATTTGAAGATGAGTGTGTTCACATGATTCACGATGCAGTCTGCACAAATAAAACACAATTTGGAATGACCGCAGTTGCCATGAAATCAGCACTGCTGTTAAGCTTGGCAAAAAAAACAACTATTTAGCGACAAAACGCTATCTTTCAAAATACATACTTAGGTTCTTGCCAGCGTTGGATGTCACACTGATTTCATGGGATGTGAGATTGAAAGAGATGCACTTGCTCCAAAGTGGGCTCTGACTTTGCAGTTTCAGACATCAGCATTCGGAAATCGCGTTAAGAAGCTTAAAATATTTATATGGTTGTAAATGGTGAAGCATTAAGTTGATTTGGTTGATTGTTTCCTCGCAGGACAAGGCTGGGACATGGATGATTCAAGTATCCACAAAGGAATTTGGGAGAGCGATGCCAGCAAAGCCGTCCAGCAGTGTCTAACTGATATTTTCACAAGCGTTTATACAACCTGTGATATTCCCGAACATGCCATTTTTGGACCCTGTATACTGAGCCACACGTCCTTGTACGACAGCATCGCTTTCATCGCACTTAAATCAACCGACAAGAGGACGGTTCCCTATATTTTTAGGGTAAGATCACTTTGAACGTTTTTTTCTGTTCGGCTCATAAATGTCCCTCCCGTTTGGGAATAGCGGTTTTTCTGGGACAGTCACCAATGCACGGAATGTCACTCGTCACATCTGATGTCGTCTTTGATTTTACCCACCCAGGCTGTAGGTTTGTGTTGTGTTTGGTGCTTTCACATATCACCCCGGGTTTCTCTCCGACTTTCTTAAAATGCATTTCTAACTTGACGCTTTCTGTCTTGTCGCGATTTTCCCCCCTTCGCAAACAGTGCAAAATAAACTCACAGGTTACACACAAGCTGCCCAGTGCCTACCCACTGGGCAGCTTTCTCACGCTGTGGTATTGGAAATTGAGAGTAGGCTGAAGAGTGGCCAAACACGACACCAATGCTAAGCTGAAGCGCGTTCAAACCGGACTTCCCACCTAACTGTCGCCATATTATACATCTATATTTTTAATGACTTCATGAACCACTCACTGCAGAGGTTCACCACAAGTGATAGATAGTTCACTTGAGGTACGATTTATCTACGATTATTACTCACGTCATTACTGATAACACTAACTGCGTGGCGTGGCTTTGGGAAATCTGAACGTGGAAGGCATTTTAAACTGTGCTTAAATGTTGGATGTTCAAAGTCTTAGTTCCAATCGCAGATGTAGCCAACGCCAATTAAATCACCGGAACATTTCTCGGCTGTGGTACTCGGCAATAATATGAAGGATGGTCCGGCTCCTGGAGATTCACTGTCATCTGTAACTGTATAAGGTCTTGGATCCTCCGACAGCGATCCGAATACTAAGGTTGATTTGATGTTTAGTGGGATTTGAGCGAGGCCGTGTCCGGAGAAATGCAGTGCACACGTGAAGTCATTGGTAACCGGTCATCATGAGTGTGGCTCATGTTCTCTTCTATGCACTTCACTGCAGGTCGATACTTCGGCAGCGAACAGCAACTCCGAGGGTTTAATGTGGCTCCGACTGGTCCAGTCGGCCAGAGATAAAGAGGAGCAAAACCTGGAGGCCTACGTGAAAAACGGGCAGTTGCTTTATCGGTCTCTGAGACGGATTGACAAGGACGAAGAGTTACTGGTGTGGTATGGAAAAGAACTGTCAGAGCTGCTCCTACTCAGCAACATCAGGGCACAGGCCAAGATGAACGGTGAGCAGAGAATTCACAAAATCTGGCCTCGCAAATGCACCCCTTCCTCCAAATAACGACGACAAATGCCTCCACTCTGATTCACATGCACAGTGTGACCCATCCCCGTATAAGTCTGGGCGAAGAAAAATATGTGCCATTTAATTAATCAATATTTCCCTCGTGTACTTTTTGCACTTCCCGTTGCACGAACTGTAACATTCAGATCACCTAATTCTCTTGAGCTTTATTAAAATCGCAGATGATTGTAATTTAACAGATAGACCGATAGGGCGGGTCCATACACAAGGCAGCATACAGTCGGTTAGCACTAACACATGCAAAATACGTTCACAGAGGTAAGCGAAGATTAACTCGTGTTAATGGATTGAACAGACGCACAGAGCGAAATATAGATGGAGACCACTCACGTGGGAAATCCGAGAACCATTTCGCATTAAAGGCGGTGGACGGGGAAAAAAAATGACCGAATAAAATGCTGCCCAAGCAAACGGGGAGAGGAGTGGGGGGGGGAGTGGGGGGGTGGGGGGGGGGGAGGCACACGAGTACCTCTTTCTTTTTTTAAAAAACACACACACACACGCACACACAAACGCGTTATCTATCACGGAATGGAGTGTGTGTGGTGTGTGTGTGTGTGTGTTTTTTCTCGCGGGTTTAAAATACGCGCCCGTCACCTCCGTGATTTATTGGGGGGGGGGGGGCTGTTAAAATCAGCCAAACGCTGGAAATTCCGATTGCCTTGTGAGAGTGAGTTTAATCTCCTTTTTTTTTTTTTAAAAAAAAATAAAAAATAAAAAATAAAAAATAAAAAACGGTGTGCTCGGTTCACGCAGGGGCATCGCCGTACACGTGTCTGGACTGCAGTCAGCGATTTCAGTGCGAGTACCCCTTTCTCGCCCATCTGCGGTTCCGCTGTCAGAAGCGGCCGAGCTGCTGCGCCTCGGACGAGAACGTCAAGAGCGGTGGCGGCCGCGACCACCTCGTTGCGGTGGGACCCGGTCCCAAGTTCAGCCGCGCCGAGCGGCACTCCCAGGAGAACAAGCCCACCACGGACTTCCACAACCTCGCCAGAGATATGGAGCACCTGCACGAACAGCCCAGGGACGGTCGGGAGGCCGAAAGCGTGAGCCTGAGCGGCGGCGGCGGCGGCAGTAGGAGAAAATACGACCAGGCGGAAGGAAGAAACGACGCCGCGACGCTGCGCCCTCCGAAGACGGTCGACAGGTCATTGACTACAATCAGGGAAAACTTGGTCCGCTCCCCCCAACAGTTCAGAGGGGGGTATTTCAATCTCAGAGAAAATGGGAGGTCGATGTCATCGTCCAGTCCAGACACGACTGAATCCAAATCTAGCGCCTTCGTCGAGGTGAAAAGAACTTCTCTCAATCTTAAGCAGACTCCAAAGGATCACGTTTCTGACCTAACCGGCAAGAACGACATGGCACCCAATACCAGCTCTTCCGAGAAGACGGTGGGCATCAAGTCCATTCTGACCGAAACGCAGGTCCACTCTTGTCTGGACAACATCGCCATGAGGAGTGCGTTTACGAGTGTTTCTCAGGTGTGCGGAACCGAGGAGAGGAAGAGTGCGTTCTCACAGCCATCCAGATCGCTTGCCCAGCTCTCTCCGCTCATGGTGTCCCAAAAAGTTATCCCTGGCCTGGACTGTCACTCTGGCATCGGTGATTCTGGCAGACTCTACCAGGCAGATGCCTTGGCGGCCAAGCTCCAACAGAGTTCAGATGTGAACGGCAATTGCACTATGCAAAGCGGTCTGGCCAAGCAAAGCCCTTTCGTCTACGCCACCGCTTTTTGGCCCAAAGCTTCTGGACCCATCCAGCTGCAAGTCCCCTCCGCACTCACCCTACTCCCTCCTTCGTTCACGTCCTTTTGTTTACCAGCGCAGAACTGGTGCGCTAAATGCAACGCTTCTTTCAGGATGACATCCGATTTGGTGTACCACATGAGATCGCACCACAAAAAGGAATATGCCATGGAGCCTCTGGTGAAGAGACGGAGAGAGGAGAAACTTAAGTGTCCAATTTGCAATGAATCGTTTAGGGAACGCCACCACCTTTCCAGGCACATGACATCTCATAATTGAACTTTGAACAATATTGTATATCACCTTGTTATGTCGACCGAAAAAAATAGCTATTGCTAAGGGAAGGAACTCTTGTGATGCACACATTATCACTTTATATTTAACATTTTGTAATTGTCACTAACTAGAGTATGCAAATGCATTTTGTCATATCTTTATTTCAGTTAAAAAAAAAGTTAGGCACTTGTGATTACACGGAGACGAGTATACGATACCTACCATATTTAAGAACAGATTTTTTTATTTTAGATATAAGTAAAGAAAAATAAGAGGACGGATTTCAGTTGATGGGTTTCACTGAAACATGCCAACGTCGGAACAAATGAATGATGTGAACCCGTTAATCCGTGAAAGATAGAAAGGCTGGAAATCTGAAAGATGCATGTACAAATAATGGATATGAACACCAAATATAAATGGGAAAAGTGCGAACTGTTACGTTGTTTTTGTAAATATTTTCGTTTTTAAAATCAAACGTCCTATTTTGTGCCGGTGAAAAGAAGTGGATAGTTACTGTGTTTCTCACTCTGCGAAATTTATGAATCTTGATAGTTTATCTAGTCATTTTGGCTGGCTTCAACAATAAATAGCTTTATTTTTACTTGACCAAATGTGTGTGCGCGTGTGTGTGTGTGTGTGTGTGTGTAATTATTTAAATTCGTTACTAAAAACACCTTAGCTGAAGAAGTCGCTGTCATGTCTGTTGTCTAACGTGGCATATTCATTAATTATAATCGCCTTTTGCATATTTTACATAGTTTATCCGTGCTAATCGCAGAATACGCTCAGATATTTTGCAGTGCAACTTTTGAATATTAGGAAAGCCTATAGCTGTTCAAATTCTACATTGAGAAATGCTTTTGACACTATACTACAGCAATCAGCTGGGGAATAACAGACGAAGTTTGTATGAATACAATAGTTTTAAAGATGTCTGTCAAAGCTACGGAATGTGTTTGTTTTTTTCCCCCTCCCCATATTGCCAATAAGAGAAGAAGAAAAAACCCACGACTTAATTGATCCGAGCAACTCACTAAGACAACCATCCTTAAGGGGGGATTTAAATCTGCGGATTTTACACCCCCCCCCCCACCACCAAAATGAAAATGAACCAATTGATAAAGACGTTAAGGTTAAAGGAGCCCTTCCAGAGTGTTAGGTTTGCATTTGACGCATCGCACCACCACATTTTATTGTACTTTCCCACAAATCCGATAGTTTGCCGTTTTTAACGACATGTTATGCCAAGAGCGAACTCGATTTAATGCGCGTTGTACCCCTATAGCAAAAAAAAACAGTTTCAATTGCACAGGTTTATACCCTTGTACTTTCGGAACTGATTCCTCATTTCATTGATGATAGCTGTATATCTAACCATTAGCTATCAGGAAAAGTGTTTTGGAGACCTGATTCAAGTGTTGGTCTGGGAGCGAATAAAACATCAAATCACCCGAGGACTGCAGAAAAGGACGATCTGACAACCTCTCTGAATTGGTGCAAGTTAAAGCAACCGGGATTAAAAAGTGCAACAGAGATGGGGTGAAAATAAAATAGTGGAGGTGAGGAATCGCCAACCCTACTTTGCAGCCAAGGACGTCGAGGGGACGTTACACAGGGTTTATTCACTGCGAAGTGGAGTGACTGTGTATTTGTGTTGGCTAATAAATGCACTGCCAACTGGAATGGAAGTGGAAATAAATAACTGTTGATGTTCTCTAGTGTGAAAGGCAGTAATGTCTGTACTGATGGTGGCATCGATATGTGTCAGCCTTCAGAGACTGTCCAGGGTCTCAACAAATTACCCAACGTCACGGAGTCGGTGCGTGTGCGAAGACTTTCATGTGTCTTCTTCCCTTTCGGTTACATTTGCCTTCTTTTGTTTCTTCTCCTGCACTGGTTTTGAATGATTTTATTTGCAAAGTATTTATTTTTCATTGCTTTGTTATGTAACAACCGTCTGTGCGGCTGCCACTGTGCTGCAACCATTTCGACGCTTTCATTGTGGCTTTAACGTGAGCTGTGTAATCGAGATGTACATCACTGATCAATGAGGAGGGCTATCAATTATTGATCTCTTAAGACAAAGCTTGAAATTGGTTCGATTTCCTCAAGTGTTTTCTGAGATGCTTTTGATGTTAGCCGAGCAGTTTATCATCGTTTTCACCCCAGTTATAGGATACACACTCGCAGTACTTACTATCCCTCAACCAATTCAACAGTAGCTATTGCAAATGCGTTGGGTTTCAGGGTTGAAATATAACCTCAGCAAGTCCTCGCCAAATGGGAATATGGTATTAAACGTTTTACTAATTTATGTAGAATACCGAATGAGTCAGAAAGCAAACCTGAAGTCAGGTGTCCCACAGTGGTTATGTAGTTACAAGCGCTATTATCTGGCAATCGCGAACATTTTTTTTACGAAAATGGGAGATAATACACAATTAAATATTTGCATCTATTTTTTGTTGTGTGCCTCAGGAGAAAGTCGCAAGTGAATGGCATCGGTCTGCCCCATGAATCGTATTGAATTCTTCATCCTTCAGGGTTGTGCTTACACCATCAAAGTATTTTTACAGGAATTTTTATTTTTATTTTGGATTCGTCCATTTTGTACAAGGATGTGAAAAAAAATTCTGCTAGGACCTGAATTGGCAGGGCAATGCACAATTGGTCATGAAACCAAGGACACGTGTGACCTGTAAATGATAATGAATAATCTAAAATATGCAACACAGCTATTCTTTCTCTGAGCAATACCGGTGATAAAATATTAAGTGAATTATAGTCAAATCTCCAGTAAGAATAATTATCACATTATATAGGAAGGTGATCATTATTACATTTACAGCACCTACATCTATATTATTATGTAAAATAATGATTTAGTAATTTACAGGACAGGAAAAAAAACTATTGAGGTCCATCTGGCTGGTTCCAAAGTAAACTTTTTTATATCAGAACTATAAAATATGTCCCATTCCTCTCAATTGATTTCTTTCGCTTAATAACTTTCTAATTCCCTGTTAAATTTGTTGCCGCCTTCATTGTTTCTCTGGATGGTATATTTCACACACTTACCACTCTCTGTAAAAAGTAATGAAATTGGAACTGAATACATTACTAACAGGCTTGGCTCCTTTCCTAATTCCTCACTGCGTTGAATCCAAACTCACAACTTTGTCGCCCAATTCCCTGAAGCAAAGCTGTGGAACTCCACACTCTCCACTTCTTCATGCAACCCACTGTCCTATAATGCCCCAAATATTCTACCCAGTTACTATTACTTTGAGACAGTTTCCCAGTGAAGTCAATATTATAAGTACAGTTGGTTATGTTTAGATCATAATAATAATAATAATCCTTGCATTTGATATAGCGCTTTTCACATCTTCTAGATGTCTCAAACGCTTCACAGAATATGCTGTAAAGTGAATTGACTGTATATTTGTGGGCGAACGCGGCAGCCAATTGCGCACAGCAATGTCCCACAAACAGTCATGGATTGAAAATGACCAATTTATTATTGTTTTGTTTTGGAGGGATCATTTTAGGCGTATGGAGTAAGGAAACTTGCCCAAGGTTTCGCCCTGACTGGAATTGTCTCGCTAAATGGTATTGGTTTAATTTTCAGTCATGCTACCAAGTGATTGGACAATGAAATCAGTGCCCATACATTATACCTACCTAGGTCATTCATTCTTGCTTATATTGATATTCCTGTACAGCGTCTTCCCTTCTCCTTTCCTCAAGACATGGAACAGTCCATGATTGCCAGTCAATATTGGTTGCCTCACTAAATGATCATTCTTCACCTGTGAGCACAAAGGGTAAGTGTTTGCAGGCTATCCAACTCTTCATCATCTACCCTCACCCAACATTCACTCTCCTGAAGGGACACTGAATAGATCACAAACCCGACTATCTTCCCATTTTCTAGCCTGGGGATATGGAGGCCAATTTGTATCACTCCATGTACCGTCCTAGTTGAGTTCAGTTAACTCCAGTACTGACTGAGTTTTGAAAGTGCAATATTCTGGTCTGTATATTTTCTGTTGATGTTGATGTCCATACACACTAAAATCATTATGAAGGCCAAAAGGTGTTAATGTTATTAAAAAACGTAAGACTTGTGCTATGTTTGTGTAATATATTGGGCGGCATTTTAATTGGGTATGTTTAGGAGCTGTGTTCCAGGTTGATCTTGTTTTGTCATAGTGTGTGTTGGAATTATTTTTACATTTCATCCTCTCATTTTTTTTGAATAAACAATGTTTGCAATCAGAGCAATAAAAAAGGATTGACTAATTGACTAATTAAGTAAGTTGTCAGTTTTCTCATAAACAGTTATATTTTTCTCGTGCGAGCATGAAAATTAACCAGCAATGCAATGTCTTGGTCTTACCTTATTGGACTGGGCAGGTGATTGCTTCATAGAGTCTGAATAGTTGTTGGGACTAAATGGTCTTGACAGACAGGTTTAAGTTCATTCAACAACAAACAACAACAACTTGCACTTATATAGCACCCTTCATGTAGGGAAGCATCTCACCGTGCATATACTGTACTAGAAAAACAACAACAACAACAAGATTACATTTGTATAAAACCAATAGATTAGCCCCAAAATGCCAAAACAACAGAACATCAGTGCTCTTTTAACAACGACGACAACAAAATTACATTTGTACAGCATCTTCACATCGGGAGGATGTCCCAAGGCGCTGGACAATCAGTGTTTCGGACCTGAGCTTAGGATTGGGATCAGGGAGGGTGGAGGGCAGTGGGGGAAGGAGGGTGACCGAAGGCATGGTCAAAGAGAAGGATCTTGAGACGGGTCTTGAAGGAGGCAAGGGAGGGGACATGGCAGAGGGACTACAGGATGGAGTTCCAGAAGATGGGGGCAGAGTGGCTGAAGGCCCGCCTGCCAATGGTGGGGCGGGTGAGGTGGGGGACATGAAGCAGACTGGAGCCCGCTGAGCAGAGGGAGCAGGCAGGTTGGTAAGGAGTTGGAGGTTGCATAAGTAGGGAGAAGCAAGGCCAAGGAGGGTTTTGAAAGTGAGGACCAGGATCTTGAACGTACCTTCTGTGTGATGGGAAGCCAGTGGAGTCAGGCGAGGATGGGAGTAATGGGGTCACGGTGCCTGGTGCGGGAGAGGACACGGAGGAACTCTTTAAACAAATATGAATCCTTTAAACTTCTATCAATGTCAGTCGATGTTTCACCAATGCAGCTAAGTTGTTGTTTGGTAAATTAAGACATCATGATTCTATAAAAAAGAAAAGAGGTCCCTTGGAAAATATAACATAAAGAGATAAAGAGACCGGTGTGAAATTCCCTGAAAGAACACATTCCTTTCACCTCTGGGATTTGGGTTCTGGGTTCAAATTTATCTCAAACAGATGAACTCTCAGTGATGGTTTGTACAGGGTTCACAAATTAGTTCAAACAGTTTCACTTGAGCTTTCTGTTGCCAATGATGCAGTCCTCACACTTGGCGCCAGCA